TAAGTTTCACGAGTGCAAAGATCTTTTTTGCAATTAATTTTAAATAGATTTTGCTTCAATAAAGATTTAATGTACAGTTTAATTGCAAAGGTATTAAGTCTTAAAAAAAGAAAAATTAATTACAAAAAAGAGGGAAATATTATTTTTTCTCAATCTATTTCTCTTTTTCCCCCCCTTCCTCTCTCTCTCTTTCTCTCTCTCCCTCCCTCTCTCTCTCTCTCTCTCTCTCTTTCTCTCTCTCTGTATGTGTGTGTTCTTTAAGCAAAACTTGGCTCGAGGATTCGTTACGGAGTCAAATAAATTTCAAAAAGCTTTGTCCGGACGAAGTGCATGGAGTCCAGTATAACCTGCATCATATATCTAACTGTCACATAATGTAATTATAAAAAAGATGTTAAGTTACTTTATACTGGACAGCGTTGCGCAATTTCAAAGGATCCAACGTTTCATTCTTAACGAGGTTCCCAGAGAATTTTCTTTCTGATGAAATGCTTTCTAGAAATACCATAGGTCGTCGGACATAAAATAATGAAGTGATGGAGTATGCCATGTTACTCACGATGCTGTGTACGCGCTTACAATATAATGCTCGCGTATAGTAGGTAATTCAGTAATACTGTTTCACGAGTTTACGCTTACGACTTTGCCATTACTATATACAATTCTGTCAAGAAACAGTGCACGATACATTTGTACTAATTTAAATTTATACAAGTCTTTATGCAAATAATCACACAACAACGGTTGCACGTTTACTGGATACATTATAAAATAGAAATTATTTCTAATTTTAATGCACATTGTGCGGAATTGGCATATTACAGAATGTATTGCATTGAATATATCGCTAGACTCAGCATTTCGTTTTCACTTTGTGCAAAAGATGCAACAGAAACGTGAACTGAGAAAGAATTTCTGATATTCAAGCATATTTTTCTTGTATTGAATCGTGCCATTGCACTTTAAGATGTTATAGACTGTTCATTGAATCCTCTCGACACAGAATTGCAAAATAAACTCTTTTCCTTCCAAAACTAGAGGCGACAGTACATATTCCAAGAATAATTTTTTAGAATAAAGAATTTCATAATTTCGATGTATTAATTATTTATTCAAAATAACTTTCAGCTTCATTTTTTAACATGCTTAGTCGATAAAAAAATACATGATTTCATTGTCCGATTTCAGGTAATATTCATAGAACAATAATAGTGAAATTGTACGTGAAATTGTATGATAAAACGTAAAGAACCTATATTTTGCATATTATTAAATAAATTTTAAATGTACTGCATACGCATGTATAATAATATATGTATTATATTATTATAGTGTTGATATGATATATATTATATTAAAGCTTTCAAACAAATCTTTTTATACATAATAATGCTTTGTAATTAACATATGACCTAGTCACATTGTAAAAAATTCCGTGCCAAAATTACGCGATATTTATTAGACTTAATTAAAAAATGAAACAATTATGTTTCTGCAAAAATAAAATTCACATTAAATTATTTTCCGCTTAACAAACTAGAATAACGTAAAAAAGAGTATCAAATTTTTGAAGCCGTATAAAAAAATATTTACTATTAAATATATTTACTTACTATATATAGTAAGCAATATTCTGATAGACTGTTTTTTAATAAACAATTTAATATAAAAATAAAAGAAAAAATATATATATATACATATACATATATATATATATATATATATATATATATATATATATATTCAAAATAGAGAGAATAAAATAGTATAATATACTATAACTTTCCATATAAACCACAATAACGATAAGCTATCATATTGCTACGTTGATTTTCCATAGTCCATATATGACTATATCGACTTTTACGATATAGTTTTTATTTTTTTTCACGTATGTTATTTAAAAAGAAAACACAGTATTATAACTTTACGTGTCAACTTTACAAATATTTCGAAAAATAAATAAAAATAGATAACAATATTAACGTTATGTGTAAAAAATATTTCGCGTACATTCATTTAAAACTGATTTTTATCTCCAAATTTTTATATACGCATTGTAAATGCGATAAATAATAGGAAATTTTTGATTAATAAATAATAGGAAAATAATAGAAAATTTTTGATTAATAGTATATTATAAGCAAATCTTGCACTAATTAATAAATTAAAATTAAAAATTAGTAAATTAGAAATTTTGTAAAATTTTATACCTTTATACGCTGATTTTATATGATAATGTGCCGTTGTACCATCGAGCTAATATGCGTTTACAACAGATACAATAATAAGAATAGAGATATAAAGATGTACACGTGTAAATTCTTCAAATTTCGATTCTCACCTTGCACCTCGTAACATTCAACTTGCGTACTTAATATTACTGATTTTTGCGCATCCTTGATAATTATTGAATTTTTCAATTTTCCATAAAGAAAGAGGAAGAATAGGATCATAGAAAAAAAACACTCTAGTAGCGCGTAATGTATTAGTAACTTATAGCAAAAAGACTTTGAAGAGCTTAATGCGCGGATATTACAGTATCTCGTGATTTTTTGTTTGTCTTTGAATGAATCGCGAACCTCTTACATTTAATAACACAAATATCAGAGTAAAAAATTTATTGTTACAGATACTAGTAAATCTGATCAGTTATACAGGATTTCTCTCAATAAAACAAATTAAAAGATAACACAAAAATACTAAAAAGATTGATCATTGTAATAAGAACATAAGATTTAGAAGCATCAATTTTGCAAAATTCGTCATATGCGAAAAATATGATATTTAAAAAATTTAAAGTGAATTTTTATACAATATCAATCTCATATAGTGAATTTTATATACAATATAATATAATGTTTAAAATGTATGGATAATATACAAATAGTGCTATAAATATTTAATACGTTTTATGATTGTATATCTATATTCGATATAAATGTACAATGCTTGTGTAATATTTATATACATCGTATGATAAACAACTTGATTAATATTCGTTATGGAATCCATTAGTTATGCGTATTAAATGAGTGATTTGCAATTCAGTTTATCGAATTTGTGACACGATTATCAACAGAATGTAAAACGACATACTTTTAATTACACGAGTTTAACTTTAAATTTCGTGCGATAAATTATATCCGCACTGATGATGTCGGAATGATAAACTAATTTCCTTAATGAACGTCGCAAGTTCTAATTTTACGTAACGTATCTGAATCTCCGTAAATAAAATTTCGCCAATTATAATTTACCTTATCGCCCTCCAATTTGAATTTTTAAAATATGCAAATATATATAACAGATTTATTATATATATATATTCACATGAATAAAATTGTTTATATTATCCTTGATAGATATTTGGATACTTTAGACATATTATCGCGTGTTTATAATTGTATAGTCATGAGAAAGGCACGATGTATATGCATGCAAATTGGGATGAGATGCTGCTCAACTAAATATATATCGTACCGAACGAACATGCACGACAAGCTCATATCAATTCAGCGATGAAGAGGATGACATATATATGGATCAGATTCAATAGGCGGATCAAACGCGACAGAGTTAATAACGATGACGAGAGAACTTTCACCGCCAGCTGTGCGTTTTGCTGCAGGAATATGCATGACTCTTTAGGTGCTTCAACTTACGAGTCTACACTGCGTAAATATATTAAGGAGATGAGAGATTTCACACAAGTAATATTGATATACGAAGTTGCATTTACAATTCTTTAACTTTTACATAAGTATTATATCTTACTGTTTGAGTATAAGTCAGTGTGTATTATATTAAGTTTCATAAAATTTTTATAAAATTTTAATATTGATTTAAATTCCAATTTAAAAATTATTTATTATATTATAATTTTCTTAATTTTAATTTTTATTTTACTTTTACAATAAGTGAAAGATTAGTAATATAAATAAATTTACAAAATCAGAAATCAAAAAGTTAGAATTTTACAAACACATTATAATCATCATATGATGATTCTGAAAATTAATTTATAACACAATGTTTATTTATTAAAAATGTATTATTTCAAATAATAAGAAATTTCATAACAAATTTGTAAGAAATTAAATTTAGCATATTTTGACCATCAGTGATAAATAATGATTTGTATAAAATTTTAAATTAAATTTCAAATTATAATGCCATAAATTATAACGAATTATTATTTTGTAAATTATAATTGATCATTATTTTATAATTGTGTAGAAAAGAACTTACATTTACGCAAAATTAGTCTAAATTTGTTTTAATACAATTGTGTGTGTCTGAGTAGCATAAAATATTTTTATAAAAATATTTTTATAAAAATATTTTTATAAAAATATTTTTATAAAAATCAATTATTTACCTTTGTACAAAATTTATATAAAATATATAGTTTAAAGAAGATACATATAAAATTATTTTTGCTTGCTTTAATTACTCATCATTTGTAATTCGATAAAATCATATTCACATTAAAATTGAAATATTATATTAAAGCTTTTTAACATGCAACTTCGATTGAATTAAAAAATATTATTTCTGATCCAATTCACATCAACGGTCTCAAAATTATAAATTTAAAATGCATTATAAACATTACTACAAAGAACACATGGAACGATTGTAACTTTTAATTTTGCTCATCACAAAATCAAATTATAATTCCGATATTTTATTGCAAAAATCAATTCGACATTATTACTGAAAATATAATTCTGTTTCATTTCAAATATACAATCAGAAGAGCTCGAAAGTATCGAGAGTGTATTATAATAGAGCATCAATTCTCGTGCATATAAAAATTACCGCATTCCTAATTTAATTTAATAGAATTTAATAGAAAAAGAAAAGATCTTAGACTTCCTCGAGACGCTCGGTTAATTCGCTCACGTGTAAAACTATAATTTTAGATAACTGGCAGTCTGCCTCGTGCATGTGCGGAGTTTCGTGATATCAGATAATAACGTGGAGCATGTACTTACACACTACGGTGAGATTCTTTGTGCCAGAGGCCGTGGAGAAGGTCGGCGCGTCTGCCGTAACTTCGCAGCTGAATGTACCCGAGAGGGCGAAGTCGACTTTGCGGAGCGTTACCTGGCTCTTGTTCGAGTTGTCAGGCTGAAACACACGTACGCATAAGATGTACAGAGCGAATGGAAGTATATGCCTGCGTGCGTAGGCGGCGGCTTAGATTATTACGCCGTGGCGAAGTCGTAATGTCATTTACATGCGGATAACATAATTTTATGTAATCTTATTTGTTGCAACATGTTACGCGCTGGTGAGATTAGATGTTCAGTTTCGCAATACCATGACATGCGCCATAATTGCTAACGTATTATTGAATATTAATTTAATGTCAATTATTTTATCAGCTCATATTTTATCTGTATGTGTTATGTATTGCATAATTATTCTTGATTAAAAAAAAAATATTTAGATTTACCGAAATTATTTTATAAGTAGAAAATAGTATTTATTACTTTCTAAGTAGAAAATAATATTTTATAATGGAAAATTATTTTATAGACGGTAGAAATTGTTATGTATTCTTTATGCGAAATTTAAATTCTTGAAAAGAATATAACTCGTCGGCGCGCCTTCCGCTTCGCTAAATATTTCATAAACATCTTAGCTTTCATCATATCGAGGAATGACTGGTCCACTCGAGGGAATAATCACCTTATCAGGAAATACCATGACATGCGTCGTAATTGCTAACGTATTATTGAATATTAATTTAATGTCAATTATTTTATCAGCTCATATTTTATCTGTATATGTTATGTATTGCATAATTATTCTTGATTAAAAAAAAAAATATTTAGATTTACCAAAATTATTTTATAAGTAGAAAATAGTATTTATTACTTTCTACGTAGAAAATAATATTTTATAATGGAAAATTATTTTATAGACGGTAGGAATTGTTATGTATTCTTTATGCGAAATTAAAATCCTTGAAAAGAATATAACTCGGCGCGCCTTCAACTTCGCTAAATATTCCATAAACATCTTAGCTTTCGTCACATCGAGGAATGGCTGGTCTACTCGAGGGAATAATCACCTTATCAGGAAATACCATGACATGCGTCGTAATTGCTAACGTATTATTAAATATTAATTTAATGTCAATTATTTTATCAGCTCATATTTTATCTGTATGTGTTATGTATTGCATAATTATTCTTGATTAAAAAAAAATATTTAGATTTACCAAAATTATTTTATAAGTAGAAAATAGTATTTATTACTTTCTACGTAGAAAATAATATTTTATAATGGAAAATTATTTTATAGACGGTAGGAATTGTTATGTATTCTTTATGCGAAATTAAAATCCTTGAAAAGAATATAACTCGGCGCGCCTTCCGCTTCGCTAAATATTCCATAAACATCTTAGCTTTCGTCACATCGAGGAATGGCTGGTCTACTCGAGGGAATAATCACCTTATCAGGAAATACCATGACATGCGTCGTAATTGCTAACGTATTATTGAATATTAATTTAATGTCAATTATTTTATCAGCTCATATTTTATCTGTATGTGTTATGTATTGCATAATTATTCTTGATTAAAAAAAAAATATTTAAATTTACCAAAATTATTTTATAAGTAGAAAATAGTATTTATTACTTTCTACGTAGAAAATAATATTTTATAATGGAAAATTATTTTATAGACGGTAGGAATTGTTATGTATTCTTTATGCGAAATTAAAATCCTTGAAAAGAATATAACTCGGCGCGCCTTCCGCTTCGCTAAATATTCCATAAACATCTTAGCTTTCGTCATATCGAGGAATGGCTGGTCCACTCGAGGGAATAGTCACCTTATCAGGAAATTATCCGGCACTCGACCTAAAGTGGCCCGAAAGCTAAGTTGGTAACGGAAGGAGAGATGAAGCAGCTTCGCGTGCTGCAAGAGAAACCGGGTAGGGAAGGGTTTAATCGGAACAGGCAAAACGAAGCATGCATAATTAGCGGGGCTTAAATAATGAAAGAGGAAGAAGCACAAGTGGGCGCCGATGGCTGAAGCGAGAAAAAGGAAGGGTGAACTGCAAGCTCTTTGACGAGCAGGAAAAGAGCGCGAAAGGAGTAAACGAGCTCTTTTCTTGTCGATTTATATGACCTTTCGACTGACTTTATAGAATTACAAACAATACTGAAGGAATAAATGTGAAACAGTAATACTAAGGCCTATCTAGGATATAATCTCCGGCTAACATTCGGCTACAAGTAACGTCTTGTCCTTTGACTGGCGGTGACATCGATACCTTCGCGCGAGATGTTCAATACCTGCTGCGTATGAATCGATCATTCGCAGACTACTAATGTCGCGTGCGAGATATCAATTCTGTCAGACGAGCTATCAATCTGTCGCATCTATGAAAAATTAAAGCGACATACTGTTCAAGCAAGATACCGAATACATCGAATATATGCAACAGGATACATCGGAGAATAGCGCAGATGCAAATGCCTCTTTCTTTATCGACAAAACTCTATCTTTTCTTATACTTCTCTGCAAATATAAATATATCTTTTTATAAAATATATCTTTTAAATATATATCTTTTTATAAAATATCTAGATGAGATATTACAAGTAAATCAGCTGATAGTATTATTTACTGTCATTTTAATTCAAATAATTCAATATTCCATTAATGTTAAATATACTTTGAAAAAAATAGTTATTTAGTTTCTGTTGTATCATACTTAATCGTATAACATATTTAATGCGATAGATTTTTCTCTCTTTCGTAGATCCTTACTTATCTGATGCTTGTTTAAATTCCTATCAGAATAGTAACGATGTCAATATGCTGGAAGCGTAATATTTACACTTTTCGAATGAGAATCGGTATTTGCTCGAGAATTGCAAACAGATATTGGGAACGAAGATTGTTACGATTTCGAACATGCTATTGTGAAATAATAGGTTACTGCTCGTAGTCATGCACCGGTATTTTTGTTGCTGAATAAATCGGTTTGTTACCTTTAACACAATCATTTCAAACAAATACTTTTCTCGCTTATTTTACCTGAATGTTTCGCAAAAATCGTCAAGTACAATTTGCAAATTCGATGGGATGGACGTGCAGCGAAATACATTAAACTGCGCCGATACGCACAATATCGAGACTGTATATTTTATCGCGAAAGCGCTTTTAACGTATTATATGTCTCGCATTATACAACACCTGCCTAAGTGACGCTTTGTTAACTCGTGCAAATGTTTCGCGATTCCGACTCCGCAAACACTGAGTCGAATTGGTTAGCTCAATCTGTAGAACTTTCGACATATGCAGAGAATTTCGACATATGTACGAAATCGTAACAATCCTTTACACAGAGAGCAAAATTTCACGAGAAATTTTTATTTTGCGGAATTTTGCTCAAATACATGGTACGATAATACAATAATTAATGTTCATAATCGCCAATCAAACCAAATAATACGAGGAAAAATAATGCAGCGTGAAAATTGTATTTCTATCCTACACTGAGGGAAACATTTTTTTAAATCAAATAAATTTGTTTTCTTTGAAACTTTTGCTTTAAATGCAAGGAATTGTTTATTTCATTTTAAGCAAAAGCATTTAATTTTAATTAAATATGCATGTTATATTAAATACATTATTTTCATTTATATTTTTTTATATTTAAATACTATTTATATACTATTTATATTACTATTTTTATATTTAAATACTATTTTCATAAAATATATACTATAATTTATTAAATTAAATATATTATTTTTTAAAATTAAAAAATTTAAAATTTTTGGGAATAAAAACTGCATTTTAATAAATATTTTGTAAAATTAAAATAAAAATATTTAATTAAAAATTATATTTTTTTAAGCATATATATATTTCTTTAAACATATGTAAATAAATACTTGACTTAAGCAAACAGACGTTTTGAATACAAGTAAATACGTGATTAGTACCCACCAAATAAATAGCTTTCTTGAGTTAACTAACATTTTTTTATTTCAAGATAATTTTCTCCTCAGTGTACGAACACGTACCACTAGTGCTCTAATAACTCACAATTCCAATAAGGAATTAATATTCTTATTAAATAAATCACATCTGGAGTACCCCATTAACAATTCGCGGAAACACGGAAACACAGGATTAAGCATCAAAATCGCATTTCCGATGTGGATCCAACCGGGATACACAACAAAACACGCAGTAAATCAAATATCACTTCGAAAAAAAACCGACCAAGTAACAATTTTTTTCCGCCACCTTCTCCCCGGGGAGGAAAACCGTCGGATGTTACTCGAACAAACGTATTTTTCGAAATCGGAGCTTTTATACATCCCTCGCGAGGTACGCTACATTACTTCCCGTCCGTTCGTCACCGGAGGACGGGCCCGCGCGCGGGCCGGCCGTGTTTCGGAACGATAAACGCAAACTAGAACGCGCCGCGCGTTGTCACGGTTTGTCAGGTCGTTCATTCGGCTGTACTGAAAACACAACGGGATAGCGGGGGCTTGTTTTTGACACTGCGTGTGCTGCGGGGATGCGACGCGCCACTCCGAAAACCACCGTGGCCAATGTGCGTAAAGGCCTACGGAAATGTTCGAGGGATGATAAAAGCGCCGACTGTTTTTACGGCGATTACAGCGGTCAAGGGTGTTGTTAACGAGACACCGTCCGGTGCTGCGGTTTACGTTACGGTGATACGATAAAGCCACATATTTCGTTGTTCGCTCACCCTCTCCCCATCGATTTACGTGACTCGAGCGAAAAAATAGCGCTAACTTCCCAGTCGTTGCGGCTTACGGATATGTGGGCGCAGAGGTGCCCCAATTACTAAATATCTTCGATACCGCAGCGTGACCGTTAAGCTTCCGAATGCATCCTTCTTTTTAACGATTTAACTTTTTCCGCGTGTTCGCAATGTTTAAATGGATAGAATTGTAGCTATGTTACAACTGGAGGAAAATCGTAGAAGGAAAAATTCAAGATTTATCAACGCGAACGTACAGAGCGGAATTGATTTTAAACATATTGAAGTACAATTATAATATAAAATTTTCATAAGAAATTTTACGCTACATTTATAACAGAATTAATTTCATCCAAAGAAAACGGTCGGTTAAATTTCATTTTTTTGTCGATTATTGTCAATATTCGTCGATCGCAAAATGTATAAAACTATCATTGAAATATCTAATTTATATATATATGTATATACTATGAAATACTTACAATAAACCTCTCATAATATTGTTACTATCCGTAGCAAGATGTTCTTTATAATGATATTAGTTCCAAGCTTTTCAGATCCTCTTCGGTTAAACGTTGACACTTAACTGAATAAAACTTCTGACCTTCTCACATGATACATATCCCCACTTCAATGTTCAGCAATTTCGTACCACTAACAAGATATTGTAAACACACGTTGTAATGTTTTGACATTGTAATGTTTACATTTGGATTTGTCGATGTCTATAAGATTCTATTTTGTCTTGAATGAATTGCGATAAGAATAAATTTGAATGAATTGCGATAAGAATAAATTTGTTTTAATCAACAATGGAAAGATATGCGTAGTCTAAATCTAATTACAAATTATATATGTACGTATATTTTAGGCCAAAGATTGAGATGTTCCTTTCCTTGTTGTATCTAAGGGAAATATGTATCTTTATGGCGTTCATAATATGCCAGGATTTATAACTTAAAATTTAGCACTACTACGAAGAACAACTTGCTAAGAATAATATAAATACTACAAGAAGTCTTTTTCTAACAGCTTGTATTAGCTCTGATAGTATTATTAAAATTTTTTTTTAAGAAAACGAATCAAAATTTATTACTTACTTGTTCTTTATATCTATTGTAATTTATAATTCAAAATATATATATAAAAATGAATATTAATAATAAACAATTTACAAAAGAATCATAAAAACTCTTATAAAAAAAGCTTGAAAGAATAATCAAAAATATATTCTATTCAAGTATTTAATCATTTATATGTTTTACACATACACGAATACATGTGTATGTAAAATATATTATGCATATGTCATAGTATATACATATTTAAATCAAATTATTTTGCTATGATAACTTATTCTAAAACTATTGCTTGTTGAGTCATTTTCAATTTGAATTTTTTTGTAATTATACGTCAATATATTATCTGTGTAAAAATATAACCTATATGAAAACATGACCTATATGGAAAAGTATTTTATATTTTATTAACATTTATTAAATATCAAATATTTGCCATTGGAAATTCATAAATTCGCTCATTTTATCGAAATTTATATATTAATGAATTCTACTCATATTTTCTCAATTAAAATTTTTTTATTACAATCTTTATTTTTGAAAAGAAAGAATTATATAACTTAATATAATTTTCTCAAAGAGCAAATGAAATGATGAAATATTAAAATATAAATAAAAACAACATTCTAGAAGACAGAGAAATTTGATAAAAATAACATAAAAGAACTATTGAAAAAGAATTATTGAACAAAATTTACGCAATGATATGTATATTAAAACAAAATTAGGTTTTCGTATCTTATTTTGATAAAATAAAAAACGCGTAAATAGTTGAATTATTCAACATTTCCTGCTTATTAAAAAAAAGAAGAAGAAACTACTTGAAAACAGATATAAAAGATATTATCCATTACCTTGGGTATGCCAGCAAAAAGGAGAATTCAATCTAAACGGAAGCAAAAAATGTCTAGAGCGCGCGATTTTGTTAAATGACTTACGTCGACATAAATCCCGGAGATGTTGAAGATCTTGGTAGGTGGATCCTCGCTGGGCGAGAATCGGTAGAATTCATGTCTTCCCCGGTACCACTTGAGTGAATAGAGTGGCGCCGTCTGCAGATCATAATAGCACCGTAGAATCACCTCCTGGCCACGTTGCACCACCTCCGGAAGTATCTGCAGACTGACCTTCTGTAGGCAGCTTGCACCTTTCAGGAAAATGAGAACAGAAACGGGAGTATTAAGTCTAGCACGCATCATTAGTCCGCTTTTATGCACTCGTCGCGCGAGAGGTCGCACAGCACGCGTCAGCGAGAAATTGCAATTCCACCGAATGACAATTTCCCTCATCCACCCTCCCCTAGCGTCCTCCACTTCTCTCGCAACTAGATGCAAACCGCAAACACAAGCACGCGCGAGTTCCCATATTCACGGGGGCATCTATATAGATATATTAAACCATTCATCCCCCTCGCCATCGCTCCCCCCATTTTCGCGTTTAGTCTATACGAGGCTCTCCGCAAACTAACCCTCGCACTCGAACAAGCACGATGTTTTTTGCTGAAACTCCGTTATAGGGATTATCGACGATTCGACCTATTAAGCCGGACAGAATCAGCGCTGGATTCAGATTCCGAGCGCACATTCGTATTAAAACAGAAAGCGAGGGAGAGAAAGAGGAAGAGAGACGATAGAGAGAACGAAACTCTCTGCGACTTCTTGGTGCAGAGAATGACGCTCTTATTACGCAGTATCTCCGGGCTATACGGAACTGAGTACAGTCTACAAGCCGCAAATGTGGGAACAAAACGGGGTTACTTCCCTCCTCGGAAACATCAGAAACATATGCTATGCTGGCAATATTTTAGGAAATATGATACTTTGTACTATGCGATGTATGTTTTCACGTCCACACGAAAGTGTATTTGGACGGACATTCAAATCTTTCATCACATCGCGTTCTTTTATGATAACATTGATGGCTTGTTTATAAAATAATGCTATATATTTGTGTATTGTGTAAATTTGGAATTTTAGTTCTTCTAAAAACACTGAAAAAGATGCTTTTAAATACGATTGCAGTTTCAGTATTCTGAGTAATTTAAAATTGAACTGAATATTTTCTTGTAAATATTCTAAATAAATATATAAATAAATATCTTTTATAACGTATATATTAGTGTAACTAATTGCATACATATTAAATGTATATTAAAAGTACTCGACATTTCTCATGGCATATATTTTTCGCAAACAGCATCAAATTTTATTATCTGAAATATGTCAACTCATTGCATACATCTCATAAAATAAAAAAAATTGTTACATAGATATATATCATTTTTACTTTTGCGTTTATTTTCACTTTTTCCTCATTATATCGTAATAATAATGTTAAAAAATTGGAACATTGTACTTATATTTACGAACATTTTTATTTCTTTTTACCTCGTACAAATTTAATATTGTACACAGATTACAACATATAAAACCATTACGTTTAGCATGCAAGTAGGTTAAGTAAATAAATAACTTATTTTATTCGTGCGAGTTACACGCGGAATGAGTCTGCTCGAATAGAAGGAGCCGTTCGTATATTTAATATAGTGCACATGTTATACCAAGTTCCCAGAAATGAGAAAGAAACAGACGGTGCCAAGAAATTGCGCCACATAAGTACAACTACTAAAATGCTCATATAAATGTAAGAAAAAAATATCAAAAACGTAAATGCTACTAATATATAACGCTATATATAACATTATTAAATTTAAATATATTATATATGTATCTTTTATATATGTTTAACATAATAATTAATCACATAATTCATTTCCACTCACTCATGTTTAGTTGTATGCAATGAATAATATTTTATATAAATATATTATATGTAATAATTATTATTTCAGCCTATGTAGCTTAAAAATGATTAAAATATGAAAACAAATGGATTTTATCAATTAAAAGCGATTTCTCCCTCAATAAGATCTTCATAAACAACTTGATCGTCTTATAAACAACTTAATGGCGTCGAATTTCGGAACATTTTTTATTTAGCTGGAAGAGTGGCAGTTAAACTTCTAATGGCAAAATAATACAAATTTCCACGTTTATCAAAAATAATATCTGAGAAAAAGCTTTGAAAAATCTTTTTCTCTGCTTAATTTTTGTTTAAAAGGAATTTTTTAAAATGTAGACCGACATGGAGGAGAGAGAGAGAGAGAGAGAAAGAGAGAGAGAGAGAGAGAGAGAGAGAGAGAGAGAGAGAGAGAGAGAGAGAGAGAGAGAGAGAGAGAGAGAGAGAGAGAGAGAGAGAGAGAGAGAGAGAGATGCCAGTTCTAAATTTTCCGGGGTTTCTTTGAAAGAGACGCAATACATACAACTCGCAATACTCGTTCCCCTTGCGTTACTTTCGCGTTGTATTTTACCTGACGTATCTTTATATTTAACTTTCAAGACCCCTAGCTAGTTTTTATGCTCGATAGAACGCCAACTTTAGACGACTAATTATTCGTAAAGAAAGCTAATTTAACGAAATACTTAACGTTTCATCTTTTTTAAAAGAAGAAAATAAGCCACGCAATAGAAAATTGCCTCGCTCTCCGACATCAATTGAGACGATGGATTTTTATACTTTCATAAAGACGCTCGTTTCTGCGGTAGAAGCCAATATGATGGCGGTAGTATATTTTACGAAATCAGCAAATAAGGTCTGCCTAATATTCTATATATTGGCTATATATAGAACATTTACTCTTAATATTTTTTTTTAGATTATAAAAAGAAAAACAGCTTAATGAGATTTTGATAAATAGATTGGAAACAGAAATATTTTAATTAGCGACAGTAAATACATTGCGAGAGTGTGGAATAATAACGTTTTCATTAAACAATAAAATATATGTATATAGATATTCGTGAGATGAACAGATATATATTTTAAAATTGTGAAGTTGAAATATTTTAAAGAAAGAAATTAAAGAGATTTAAAGAGATTTTAAAGAAAGTTAAAAAAATTCCCATTATATATATATATATATATATATATATATATATATATATATATATAAAATACACACACACACACACACACACACACACACACACACACATACACACATATAATGTAATTCATAAGATAATTTTTATTTCCTCCCCCTGTATAATTAGCAAGTAGACTTTCTTTCTGACAAAAGATTGCGTTTGTTCTTTTCGTTCGCCGCCATCATCTCATCGCTTTCCCGCTCTCTCCAACTTTGAAATTTATAACAAAGTTTTAACAACTCGTCTTCTCTGTGTTGCGAGTAAAGGAAGTCAGGGATCCATCGCATCGAGAGTAACGTAACGAAGAGAAATGTGAATTTGAATATTCTTAGCCTTTAACGTCAAAACTCTGGATAAATTGCGATAATTTGACCGCTCGTATAAAGATTAATCTTAATATCTTTCAGTTGAGAATGTCGAAATAAAATTGGCTATTATCACGCGATGATTAACTTTGAATAGCATGATTTCAAAATACTAAGCTTAATCAATTTTGTAAAAAAGAAACCATTATTATTAATGCAATCTTTTCTCTCGACAATCGATATCTGACTTGTATAAAAAAATCGGACAAATTGTAATAATACATCTATGAGATTCTAATAATTGTAAATTCATGTCTGTTGACAATATTAACAAAGTATACGATAATAAAAAACAAACAAAATAAATGCCCAATCATCAGATAATTAATTACTAAAAAGAGATGAGAGAGAGAGAGAGAGAAAGAGAGACTTGACAAATATTTAATATATTTACATATAGAAAAACATATAGAAAAACATTGATTTTTAAACTGAATGGATTTCATATTAATATCGATTTAAATTATTATTCGTTATTAATTTCGAAAAGTTGAGTGTCGATTACAATTATTCTAATGATACATCAATATTTTTTTTTTATAATTGATTTAAAATTCTTATTAGGATTCAATTGTTGATTATTATATCGCTAAAAATGTTGAAATTACAGATCTCATATTTAAAAAATAACATTGGTTTTTCCGGTCGCTGCAAGCAGATTTGATTGCAACAAAATTACGTCGATTTAACCGGACGGAAAGATTATTCTGAAAATATCATTGGAAGGTAAAACCTTTCTACAGCATTTCCACGCGGCAGTATTAAATGGTGCAATCGACGCGAATAAAACCATTTTCGTTAAATACGATCGATGCGATTTGCGAAAGCGCGCTTCCGACAGCAGTGAGTTTCGTGATATCTATGCGGACTTGGTTGCCATCCGGTATAATTCCAGTGCGATTCGAGCGCTTCCGTCGCGGACGAAGGCGCGCTTCAGGCAAATTAAGCTACACTCGTAACTGCGAATGACTACGATCAGAATTGTAAAGTCCTGTGTGTACACTTTTTTTCCTTCGCGTTTCTTTTGCTTCGATTCAGCGTGCGACCAATTTGAGAATACGAAAGGTGCTCGTACATGAAACGTACTTCTCAGCCGCGATATTGTATAAGAAAATAAAAATATAAAATAAGCAATGTTATCTGAGAAAATAAAATGATTTATGGTCAATAAATATGCAATTAACATATTTTCAATACAGCTATCAATTCATTTACAATTTAGCTTAAATATGAAAATGATAACTGTGAAAATGCTGATAGAGATATTGAATGTTTTTTTGGATAATTCAATATTTATATAAAAGATATTGAATACACGTGTAATAGATATAAAAATGTATAATTTTTTCATGTATAACGTTAATTATTTACAATCAGAAACACTTAATCAAATGAGTTTCAGTTATTTAATTCCACATATTGTGTTCCTCATTAAGCTCTTATTGCCGAAGATATAAAAGTATATAAATTGATTGTACACAATCCAATTTATAATGAGATTTAAATCAAGTCTACATCGTTGTCTACATTTTAACATTTCAATTTTGTATCCATCATTTATATTTAATTATATCACGCTATCAATTAATTTATTCTCTTTCGATGAATCGAAAGTTAGGAAATGAGAATAAATAGGTAAAGTTTATTTATAAAACAATATTTTTCGTATAATCGAGCAGCGCAAAATTAAAATAACCTTTAATTAGAATTTTTATCCTTATTGAAGTCTGTTTTTAATGCGAATAGTAATGAATGTTTCACCTGAGTGAAATATAAGAAACTTACTTGCGGATAGA